CCACCCCCTTTAAATATGCAATATTTTTAATTTTGTTTTTTATAACTTAATTTAGTTTCTCTGGTTTCTTTTTTGCTTCCTTAATCATAAATGTACGAGGACAAGTACAATAAATGTAATATAGAAAATAATTCTTGTTTTTGTAATATCACAACACGTAAGACTATAGCTACACAAAAATATGTTAAAATATATTTAACACACATTTTTTTGTCAGAAAATATTATTTTGCCATTGTATGTATTAATATAGAAACACATTATATAAATATAAATATATATATATGCATGTAAAAATAAAAATTTTTGAAAAGAAATATTGAAAAAATTTAAAAAAATGTAAAACTTTAGTATAAAACGAGAATCTATATAGTTGACCGTGTCAACTCTGTGATACCAATACGAATAAAAGATTTCAAATGTCGGAGATAATTAATATACAGTTTCATACAACCTCTTACTTTTTTATCTGTCTAGTATTATGTTATACATAAATGATAGTTACCGTAAAAATCCATACAAATTAAATGAATTTTAATGAAAATCATGGTCACATCATCAAATTCCTTTGTTTAACATTTCACCTTTATAAGCTTAATAGTTTTTGGGCTCAATCGCACAAATAGCATCTACCACAACCAGTGGAGGACTTCAAATGACTTTTATTAAACTTAAATGCCCTAAACAATATATTTGCTTGTGCAAATTTTCAAAATTATACGCTAGACTGATTTCTCAGATATGACTAAATAACTTTTGAAGTTACAGGCAGCTATCATAAGAGCTCATGAGATCTGAACTGCTTTTAACGAATATAGCTGTCATTTTACCATATTTGTTTTTGCAAAATTTCAGTACTGTAGGTTAAACAGTTTTTAAAATGTGGCCAAGTAACTACCAGGAGGATACACGCGATTTCAACGACTTTTATCAAATACAATAGCCCTAATAATATATAGCTTCTATAATTTTTGAGATATTGCCAAATAAATTTTGCAGTTGTATGACAGCTACCTGAACCAGTGCCTCGATCATATCTAATTTAAAGATTTCCGGCATTTACTACTGTAAATCATTTGTGAAAATTTGGTGAACTTAACTTAATTAAATTTTGAACTATCGCTGGGACGTAAGAACAGACGAACAGGCGGACAGTCATGGTACACTTATATCTTTATCTCAGACTATTATTTCTTAGCGTTACAAAAGGTTAGGCAAATTTAGTATACCCTTCGAGCACACGTTTGTACGGGATTCAAACACAAAATTTGTTCCCCTTCCCTATAAATATGCAAAAAAAAAATTTATTTTTTAATTTTTACAACGAAAAAAGAAACAAATTGCAACATATTTTATTACAATTATTATTATTTTTTTAAATTATCGCAATCGCATATATATGAGATATCTACCCTCTTAGTTTTTTTAAGTAATATTATATACGTACATGTACTTCATATTGTTTTTATCATATATTGAAGAGAAAGGTATATATTATAAAAAAAGAATTCTACATGGAGTATGTCTGTAAAGTACCTATATATAGAGAAAGAGTTCTCCAGGATATTGAGCAAAAACAACAACAACAAAAGTGATGATGATGAAACGCTGGCAGAAAATAAGTAGAGAACAAAACAAAGAAGAAAAAATAAGAAGGTGAAGGTTAGAAAAACAAAACGAAGTTTAAGAGCAATTTAAAATAACATTAGGATACAAAAATTAAAGCATACTTTAAATTTTATTAAAAATAACCTACTTTTATATTGTATTAAACGTTGTATACTATATTTTATTACGTAATAAAAAAATATTTTGTAATTCGGGTATATTTTATACTGAACGTATATATTCAAAAAGAGAAGAGGTAAAGTTGACCATGTCAACTCTATAATTCCTGTACGAATGAATCATTTCTAGAGTTTTATGTTAATTGCCAAGTGTTTTACGCATACTCTCGTTTTTAATATGTATAGAACTCGTTAGAAAGAGGCAAACCTTTATTGAAAATAATGGCCATAGTGCCGTATTCATTTATGAAAAATTCGCTTGATTTCAATTGTTTCATAAAGAGTATAATATATGAGCAAATAAGTTTTGAAGTTGTATGGTAGCTATCATAAGCGCTCATGATGTCTTGATTGCTATGACTATGTTGCCATGTTTGTTTAAAAAAATTTTAGCACCCTACTTTATGTAGTTTCTAAGATATAAGCAGCAAATAATTAAAGTTGCATGGCAGAGATCGGGTTTACTACCCGAAACTCTGCATCGATCACACTCAATTTAAATAAAGTTCCGACATTTCTTATTATAAATTATTTGAGAAAATTTGGTGAGCTTAGTTCAATTAGTTTTTATTTTCAGACGGACAGGCGGACAGGCGGATAGACATGGTTAATTCGACTCAGAATTCGACGCTGATTACAAATATATACTTATACCAATATCCTATTATTCTTAGCGTTATAAACGTGAAGGCAAATTAATAATACCCTTCGAAGATACGTTCGTACGGGTATAATAAACTCGTGTCTTAAAATAGAATTGTAAAAGATCAATTTATGAGAGCTGATTTCACCCTATAGTGTTCCTCTGTTTTGTAAAAAAAAAAAACGGCCGAAAATATTAGTAAATTTTGTAGTTTTTGTTTCACAGCATTCATTCAAATTCAATTTGCTCTGTATGAGCTTTAACCAGAAAAATCAATTCCAGTATTGTCAGATGATTTTTTGCATTTAACAGTTTTTTATTTGCGACATTTTTTTAATACTACTTGCGTGTATTTTTCTTAAGCAAGGCAATGATATATTTTATTACTCTCTCTCACCACATAGTTTCAGTCCGTCTACTACTTGACAATTCTTCTTTGACAATGATATATTTTATCAGCTCATCTCAACATATAGCTTCCATTAGTCTACCTACTCCTTTGGCATATTTTGTTTAGTTGTATTTCTATTGTAATTAAACAAAATTTTTAAACTTTTTTAGCTTAACCGCGCTGATTTCTGCCCGGCGACGGCATAGGAAATAAAATTTGGAACATGCATTATGCTTATATTATTGTTGACCTTGTCAAATTTTCAACAAAATTTGGAAAATAAGTCTAAATACATAATATAAAGTACAAACTTTTGATTTCTTAAATACGCTTATGTAAATCTAATTGAGAAAATGAGAATTTTTAATAGTGGCAAAAAAATATGGTAATGATTTTAGTACAATTTTATAAAAAAAGAAACAAAATAGCATACCCCTAAATATATGCAATTTCTTTCCAAAAATATTTAATTTCATAGTTTCAAATAAAATTTCCAGTTCTCATTGATTAAACAAATGAAATTAAAAAAAATATATGGAAAAAATAAAAATTAGGGTTAAATTTAAATGACATTGCAAATATTATTTTCATTTTTTGCAAGTTTTTAAACATATTTAAATAGACGAAAATATCTATTAAATTATCAATTTTTAATTACAAAAACATTTTCCATTTCATTTCATATTTAAGTAAATCTCATATAACACATGTAATTAATGTAAACAGTATAACCTTATACAGGGTGATTCAGCAAAACGTACAATAAACAGTATATCATCGTTTAGGGCATCGCAAAAAGGTAAAATTTTTGTTCAGAGAACTATAGGTGTCAAATCTTAACGGTTTCCGAGACACATAGGGATTTTAACAAATTTTCACGAAATTTCTACCTTCAGTTTATGTGTTAATTAACCAAAATCGAGACCAAATTTTTATTCAAAAATTGCCTTAGTAGTTCGAATTTTGTTAATTTATTAAAACTTGAAATTGTTCTGTAAATTTTTTTAGGATGGTTTAATTTTTACCGACCGCATTGTTTACAAAATGGTAGGTTATGTGATGGCACCAAATTTTGAATGCCGAGTAGGGAAACGTAAATAAACTTCTTTATAACGGTCTTTATTCGGTTGAACCTATTGTAATGAAATTTTATATGCGTGAGTTTATTTTGGCTTTGGCACGGATTCATCAGTTTTGAGGATACATCCGGCCAAGGGAACTGGACCTTTTTGCGGGCCAATTTTACATTTTTGCGTATATGTATAAAGAGAAATAATCCTTGAAATTTAATAATTAAATTCCTTGAAACTTAATATTTAAATTTGGGGTATTAAAACAATGATTCTATAAATTTATTGATTTTTCAAACTGCGAAACCATGCGACAAACCATACCGTTGGCTTCTTCTTTTTACATTATGTCGCATAGTTGCAAAGTTATGTGCATTTATTTATAAACAGGAAAGGTCCGGTACATTTCTTTTTCAACAGGCTGTAGCTCGAAAACAAGAATATCTGAACCCCCTCCTCACACCACACAATTTTTTGCTGGAAATTGATTAAAGTATCATCACTGAAATTATTTGCTCCCTTATGCGAAACATCCTGTGTAATGTCAAAGTCAAGTTTAAATAAGTCAATTAAAATAAAAAAAAAGTATTATTTTTTTTGTTCAACAAATTTTAAAACATCAAGTTCTTAAAATTTGATAAAGTAAGAGCTTTTGGTCTAATTAAACGCAATATGCTGGAAACAATATTCCAACATTGGTTTTTCCTTTGAATTAGGATTGAGAATTTACTCGATCAAATATTCCAAAACTGCTGACGTTTGTAATTTCTGTTAAGATGTTTTCTTTTTCTCCCTCTCCACCTGATTCTTATCTATCCCCCTGGGATGTTGGAGCCCCCGCTCTGTTTTTCTGTATTTTATACTCTGATTTTCACAGTTATCTGTTTCTATTTTCCTATTTTTGATTTCTTTTGGTAAACTTTAACTATTTTTTCTCTTTTCGTATTTCATGTATCTCCATTTTATTTGTTGTTGTTTTTTTTTTTGTATAATTAAAATTTTTTGCTATTTTTCCTGTATAATTTTATAATGAAATTTTTTTTCGTTTTTGCAAAATTTCAATAAAAAGTTCAAGATTTTTCACAAATAAAAGAAACTTGCAATTCTTACACTAAAAATTTTACTGGGTTGTCACTGCTCTTGTTATTGTTGTAGTTGTTGTTTCAAATACAAAAATTCTTAATTTTACATTTGTTTTTGCCGCCGAAAATATTAAACAGAACAACTTTTTAATATTTTTAAGATTATTCAATATTTTTTCAACTATTTTTGTGGTGAAAATAGTGGGTGGTGAATAAAGAAAAAAAAATAATATCTTTTTTTAATTTAAAATTTTTTTTTTTAATAAACTTTGATTCTCAAAGTTTCAATAAGAACTTTTATTAAAAATTTTTTTTGCCTCACCGCTCACTTACAAATTTTTTTTTCTTTTTTCAAGTATTTTCCGAAAAAAAATATTGTTTTTTGTTTAACTATTGATTTTTTTACTCCGTTGTTTTTTTTTCAAATTCTCGGTAAAAAAATTTCTCGTTATCAATTACGTTTCTTTTTTTGTTTTCCACTTTTCAAAAAAAAAAAAAATTTTTTTTATTTTTCAATAAAGTATATTTAATGAAGGAATAAAGAATTTTTTTTACACGATTTTCGGAGAAATTTCCTTTTTTTTTATTTTATTAGAATAATTTTTCCCCCCCGTGTGTTGTGTTTCTAATTTTTTTTCTTTTTCCTTTTTTTATTATTTTTTGTGTGTGTATCAAAAATTATTGGTTTTTCCCCAAAATAGAAATATATTTATACATACATATATGTGTATATATATATATATATATATATGTGTGTGTGTGTATGTGTTATATACCAATTGTTATATGCCAGTTAACATTAAATTTTCCTTTTTAAATTTCAAATATCTAAGTTAAAACAACATAAGGATAATATGCATGTATATATAAGTGTGTGTATGTAAATGTTCAAATGTATTACATAATATATATTTATGATTTAAAAATAAACTCAAAGAAGAGATATACTATGTGTTATCTCTAAAAATAGTAAAAAAACAAAAATAGCAAAAACAATCTTGAACCTATAAAATAATATAAAATACTAAAAAGAGATAGCTATATATACAATCTAAAACAGAACGGGGATACATAATTATATTTTTGCCATTATAAAAGAGAAAAGCTTTCTCTATATTTATTTTTGTCTTAACTTTTTTGTAAACCGATTATATAAAAAAAAAGCGTCCCCCCCCCCACAACAATTTTTTATAAATAAAGTAATTAATATTAGTAATTGGAAGAGTTTGTACTAGATTTCCAAATTTAATTTTAAAAACATATGGGGTTTGTATACTAGATTTCCATAATGACTTCTAAAAATATTTGAAAATTTACAACTGTCATATTATCTGCTGAAAAATAATGTTGTTTTCTCTCCAAAATTTTTGATGTGGAAAATAAAATGAAAAATAATGACATTAAATGTCTGCTTTGACACTGAAATGTAAACCTTTTTTAAACTATATCAAAAACAATTTTTGCAGTTCTGCGCATGTTGTTTCATGAATTCACAAAATGTACTTGAAAAAACAATTGATTCGCGTGTGTACAAAAAAATCTTTTACGTTTTTTAAATCTTTCTATAATTGAGAGTTTGACAAGCCAAAATTTCAAATTTATTTATTTAAATTGTACATAGAAAGTTTATGATTACTTAGCCCTCAGAAGCAATATATTTAATTTTACTTCTGTCACTCAAAAGTGAGTTCTGTCACTCATAGTGTAAGTATCAAAAAATAAACACAATTTTCCGAGTTCATTTTACACCTTTCTTAATTTTTGTTTTTTTTTTGGTAATTCTTATGGTTTCTGTCACGAAATTCTGTCAAGTCCACAGATTTAACTAGAATTTTCTTGTCACTGTCAAGACTGGATCATGCTACGTGTACTGTTTTTTTGGATTATTTTTAATTTTAGTTGCTCATTGGCTGTATATCGAATTGCTCTAATTTTACCTGCATTTATTTTTTTCAGATTTAAAAATTTCTCTAAAAATCATGATACTACATTTTCTGCAAATTTTTCTTGTCAACATTTTAAACTATAAAAAAATCAGGTGTATGTTGTTAATTATTAACTGTAGTATCCTATAAAAGAATAAAAGTATAATGATCGGTTGGTTGGATTACTTGGTTCTTTTTTTTTTTGCAAGACACTCCAAGGCAGAACTACAAAGCACCGGTTTGATGCCACACTCCGAAGGAGTTAACTACGACCAAAATTTAGCGTGTTTGACTCAGAAATGAGAGTGTTCTTCAATCTTATTCTTCTAAGTCCGTAAAATATTACGATCCCATGTTGTGAACTTAACCTCGGTCAGGATCAAAATATCAAGAAAGTAAAGAGTTTCCATACTCCTCGCAGCAAATATGTGTGAGATATCTTTACCGTATATGAAATAAATATAAATATAATAAAGCGAGTTTAACCAATCAGTTTCTTTCGCAAGCATTAAACCCGCGATTCGACCATTAAACTATCAATTTAGTGATTCGACCATTTTTGAAATTTATTGACCATTGTTGCTTTAGTCTATCTAAATCCTCTTATGTGCAATTCTCTTATTAGTAATGGATCCTCTTGGTGTTGTGTTGCTTGTTCTTAAAGTAAAGAAGCATTTCAAAAATATTCTATAAAGTTTGCAAGTCTTAAGCTGTGAAAGTCTTAAATAATTAATACAGTATACCCCGGTGCTATCCTTAAGAAACATATTAAAGACAATAATCTTTTGTGTTTGGTATAACTTAGTATAGATCATTAAATATAATCATTTGGTAGGTCTTATAGAACTTCACAACTTTATATAGTTGTTCAATATATAAAAATTTCTTATAAATTCAATAAAAAAAATATATAAATAAAAAAAATAAGCATATAACCGACCGCAATATGTATTATCTAGATTAGTAAAAGTATTACCGAAGATTATGAAAATGCGTTTTAAGCACTTTTTTACAATTTTAAGGACGCTAATAAACTTTTAGTTATAATACCTAGAAAAATCTTAATTTGGCTCTTAATAGAGTTATGCCGTCCGTTTTATATGAAAAGTTCGTCAGCAACTTCTGGTAAGAATCAGAGCTGAAATATTAATTAAGAAATTCCATCATTTCCGAATTTCCGTAGATTAGGCAAAATATATAAAATCGACCCCCAGACCAGTTTCCGAGCCCTGATATTTTCAAAAAATTTATAAATTCGTTGTTAAACTCCTTGAATTTAAATATTAAATTTTAATGAAATCGGTTGATTAGTTTTCTTTATATACGCAAAAATGTGTATTTGTTCTGTAGTAAACGTTCAGTTGCTGACGCTTGATTTCTTCCAAAAGTTAGGAGGTATCGCGGACGGACGAATGAAGCTTATATATTAAAATTCAAATTATAATAAATATTATAAATTTCAAGTAAATCTGTTGGATATTTTCTTAAAAATGATAAAAAATGTAAAACAGGCCCGTTAAAAGATCCATTTCCCGAGGTCTGATATTTCCCAAAAGTCTGATATTTGATCAATCCGTGCCATAGTCGAAATAAACTTACATATAAAATTTCATCAAAATCGGATAAGCCGAACTTGAGATGCACGCGTGCACACACAGACAGACAGACCGACAGGTTGCTAAAAATAGTTTATTTACACTCCCCTACCATGGAAAAGTGCGTTTCCACCGAAAGCGCGACATCCAAAATTTGGTGCTATCACATAACCTACCTTAGTGTATACACAATGCTTCGGTAAAAATGTCATTTATCCAGTGACAAGTCTTACTATATGATTCTATGTTAGATTTTCATTTATTTTGATATTTTTTATATAAGAAGAAAATTTAAGTTGAAAGGTAATGTCAATTTTGTCACATATACAGGGTGATTCATCAAGAAATTAAAAGCCATATACCATAGCGTAGAGAGTTGAAAATGAGTAAATTTTCTATTCGGAATACAGTGTTAGATCGGAACCGTTTCGGAACTGCAGGAATTTTAAAAAAATTTGCCGAAATTTTAACGGTTTCTATTTAACATTATGTTCCGAACAAAAATTTTACTCATTTTCGAGCTTCTACCCGGTGGTATGCGACTCCTAACTTGTTGGTGATCACCCTGTATGGAGGAGTGTACCTCTCTTCTGGACATTGTCATTGTCTGCAAAATGGTATTTACCGGTGCATACAAATGAGAAACGAGAGCCAACCTGTATATAATTAAAAATGCGTTATATTATAGAGTAAAATTTATTGCCAAAATTAGGAGCATTCATAAGAAGAACAAATAAACTTCACTTATATAAAAGTATTGTTAATATCCAAAAATTCAAGAAACATGATAAAATAATTTCACTACTATTTTGTATAGGATTTCCTTTTATACAACTTTAACTGCATATATATATATATATATATATGATTTTGTGGACTTAATACCTATACATATTTCTAGACGAGGTATAAATGTGTAACATATGTATATTTAATGTTAAATGGAGGAAAAGCCTTGCTGCAATACAATTTCATAAGTACACTCAAAAAAATTCAGGCAAAGATTAAACGTAAAACTTTTATTTTCAGATTAAAATAAAGAAATTTTACTCTCCTATATCAGATTCGCAAATATTAATTAAATTTACTATTTTAAGTATTTAATTAGCCCTATCAGACTTGCGTCTATTAACCTCGAATACAATGTTTTTTTTTGACTCTTGTAGCGAAAAAGTGATTCCACATAATGATTTCATAGAGTGCGCAGTCAGACAAGAAATTTCTGTTCTACCAATTTTGACAAAATGTGTGACCTTAAAAAATGAAAATGACCTTTAAAAATAAATTTTAGCAATTAAGAAAAATAAGAAGTTTTTCACAAATTAAATATTTATAACTGAAAAAAATATTGAACTCCTGTCATTCTAACACGAAAATATTAAATTCCCGTCATTTTTTCTATTATATAGATACGGATATGCGTATGCGCAATTAAAAGTTACTTGTATAATTTGTAAATATCCCTTAAATTATTTCCAAATTATATAATGAAAACCATTAAATCTGAATGACACTGCAAAGACTAATCTACATCTAAGACAGAAACGCGAACAATAAGTTATTCAGTACTGAATGCTTTAACATTATACTATATCGTTTACTAGGGCACCAAAAATTGATAAAATTTTTGCTCAGAACTAGGTTCCAAATCTCAAGGATTTACGAGAAATATACAACGGTTTTAACACAAATTTGTAGTAGTTTATACAACTACCTACTTGTTCTTACTAAGAAGGTCTAAGAAAGGTATTTGTTATTGCTTTGAACAGACTTTTTTTGAAATAGGTTTGAATTGAGGACTTTTAGAAATGAGGAAGGTTAACTTCGTACTACACTTGTTCTTTCGGAATAATAAGTATTTATAAATATAAGTATAAGAATCGCATAAGGTGACTTACTTTTTTTGAATAACTTATAAAGGGAAATGAGAGAAGTAAACTGTAAACTGCCTGCTCATTTTATTTATTAAATTTTTTTTAATTTCTAAATAATAAAAATTGATAAACTCCTAAGGTTTAGAGTTGTAGTTTTTTTTTGAGTGTATATATTCACACAAGAAAAAAAAGTGTCAGATGTAAAAAAGGGTTCAGTAACTTTTTACATGTTATAAAAAATTTTATGTGAACTATGACTATGATATCAAATTTATAACATGAAAACAACATAACATAACTATATATACATTGTGTATATATATGCTTCCATGAACATAATAAAAATACTATATAGTAAGAAAT